GGTGTATATGGCAGTAATAATTAATGACTTCTTAAAACTTACAAAGTTTTTGTAAGCTTATATGAATTCATGCTACATTTTTGACTTTGCTGTAAATGCTGAAGGGAAATGTTGTAAAACTTGGAAATGCTTCTGATTTGATTGGCTGAGCAGGGGACTCCACTTTTCCACAATGCTAAACAGCAGTGGGCTCCCATCGCCCCTTATGTTAGAGCATCTCTGGGAGACCTGTGTGCAATGGCGGTATACTATGGCTCAGTGGTCACCAGGAAATGCTTCAGTGTCAGCTTCAAACAAAACTTTTGAATGACTTTTAAAGATGTGATGAGAACTTTAGACATTGTGACCTCTAGTTCCTATCACCCCTATTATAAAGATGTAGAGTTGGTAGTCTTCTCTATAACACTCTGTTCAATAAAATATAAATCATGAATGAATCTCAAGGACTTTGTTTACACGTCAAGGACCGAGTTAAGCCAAAATTTTCTTCCACTTTAACCACTACAACCATATTATATTTGTGTTCTAGATCATTCAAAATGAGAACATGTGCATGCAGAGCCAAGTCATTGCCATGTTACATCGATGCTATGCTGTTATTAATAAACATCTGGTTCACAAATGTAGTAGCTGAAACAAATCATGATAATGGAACAACCAATCAAGCAAGCAACCCAGTGATCTCATCCTTTGCAAGCCAGAAAATATGAATTTGTTGAACTGTGAAGGTCAGAAAGAACGTTTGTAATATCAGCAGACGAATGTATGGCTTGAAATGTACTAGTGAATCATTTATTTTTCCTGGCTGTCCTCCAGTACTGTAAATGTAATGCCCCAGAGGCAAAAAAATCACCCTGAGGCATTTCTAATGAGATATCAGAATATAAAACACTTTTCCTGCCTGTGTCGTGTTGACTGGACCAGCACTGAGCACAAAAAGTGAGTGTGTGTGTTTGTGTGCATGTGCGTGCACTCGTATGTGTAAAGATGGCCAGGATGATGGGAGAAGTCAGAGTCATATTTTCCACTGATATCAAAGCCATATGATCCTGCCGGGCTGGATCTCAGCAGATGGGGTTTTCGGCTCATCCCATGGGTCTTTGGGGAAAGGGATACAGAACAGCTCACAAAAACACAAGCTGGACACCGCTGCTTGGTTTTGCACGCTTTCGTTTCAAATGGGTCTGCTGTATGCACTCTAACCACATCAAGATTGAGGCTACATCGAAAGGAAAATTTTGTCACAAATACAGATTTTAACCTGATTTTAACCATATCGAACTAAGGGTTTCGCCAGCGATCCATTGAGAATTTAGCGATGCCCATAAACTCTTCCAAATCTGCTGCTAGAGCAGTTACCGCACATGCATATGCACGCTGGCCACACTGAAATGCGCTAGAGCGCAGAATTGTCATTTTCTTTGTACTATCGTGTTTCTATCACTGTATAAAAGATGCATGAGCCTTCCTTTATTGTTGGATGCACTGTGCTTTTTTTCACAGCAGCCACGCAAGCTTATTCTTAGTGCGTTTCAGATGAATTTATTTAATAGCAGCAATAGCCAAGTTTTTATGTCAGCCGAAACTCCCAAAGTCTTAAGTAGTATAAAAATTGAAATAACTGCGATCATGTTATATAACATTCTTAGCAATTTTGTTGGTTTCTGTTAATTAACTCTTTCTTTTACTATTTTTAATCAGTTATTTTTTACACACTTCTATTTGTGTTATCCTCATGCTAAAGGACAGCTGTTTTTGTTGCTGTTATGAGTATGAAGAGCTACCATAATTATTTGATTAAAAATTGATGTCAATCAAAAAAAAAAATTGTGTTAAAAATTTATGTTTTAGATGAATCCACTTTGCAATCACTTTGCAATTTAATGACAAACAGGGTATATGCAAGTCATTACAAAGCCGTGTTTAGCAATCTAAAGATTCTCCAAAAGGGGGCACTATTAGCCCTCTAATCACTTTTGTGTGCATCACTTAAAAAAAAGGAAACCCAGACCAGCAGGATCTCACTAATTCATGTATTAGTGAAAGATATTTACATGTATATGATTACTTGATTTATCATTAAAATAATGGCTTTTTTATTACTAATGTAAACAATAATGAAAGCATAAAAATCCCTACAAATGACTGACTTCCCTCATATTTGAACAGTTTGTTCAAGTTTTATCGGCATCATCATCACCGTTACCTCTGTGTAACCTTAATATTGGTTCATTTCATCATATAGCAATATATCAGTCAATATTTAGTTGCACTATGGAATAACTAATAACCATCTCCCTCTTTTCAAGAAAATAGTTTTGGTTAGATGTTACAAACTGACCATAAAATTCTGCACTCAATACAAAATACACAAATGCATACAGAGACACGAAGTCCAACCAATAACTTTCTATCTAAAGATCCAGTTGGAAAAAGAGCCTGCACTCTGTCTCTCTGTGAAATTCCTGCCAACATGCAACATTGAGAAAATATCAATACTGGATCCCCCCCAAGCCCCCCCGAGCAAGGCTCGAGATAACTAGCTAGCGAGCATCGATGAACCTCATAAAGAATAACGGCATTACGCTGGCCTGCAGGAATGTGAACTTGACCTGAAATGCACTGGACTAGAAGTACACAAAGCCAAGCGCTGAGTGTTAGTAATGCTGTCTGTCTGCTTATGTAGCAGATTAACGTGGAACTGCGCAAGGTTACAGTGTGTCTCTTATCAGCGAGCAGGAGCGCATCTTGTGCTGTTAACGGGTCATGTCAGCACATGACTGCCAGGCTGTTCTGGCTGAGAACAATGGTGTGCTTTTGATGGAGCTGTTCAGTGTGATCTAGTTTTAAAAAGGGCTGGAACTGGGCTAGTTCACTGTATTACACAACAAAAGCCATTTGAGTGATTTGGTGCAAACTTCTTAAAGCAACACTGATTTGTTTGTTTAAGGAAGCCATAAAGAAAACATGCAGCCATGTAGGTGTTTCGAAAGTGAACAGATAAAGGCTGATGTATGACTGTGCCATTCATGATGTTTTTGACTGAAGTCTGCATCAACACTCACACCTGTGCTGACTTGTTTGTGTCAGTGTATTTTCCGCAGTGGATGTGAACAGATTTAGAACTGATGGAATGAAAATGTGGTCTTTAATCAGTGGCTAATGCCCCTTCGTTGCTTATCCCCTAAAGCGACTTCCTGATGATTACAGCACAGGCCAGACATTAGGCAATTAGCCTCACGCTTTTACGTAAATTAATGTAATGGAAATCACGTAGGACGCTTGCATTTCATTAAAAACAAGGCTGATAGAAAACTATGAAGAAATATCATTCATTATTATTTCCTCCCACTCATGATCAGCAACAGTAGCTTAGAAGGGAATTCCACTGGTTTTTCTGCATTTCTGCATAATTAAATTGCTAAGAAGTAAACAGAGTCATTCTGAGTTGTTTGGTGTGAACTGCTCAGGTCTAGAGAAACTTTCCAAGTCAGAATTGTTTACAGCGCTGGTGTTAGGAAACAGACGTCCGAAGCATTCAATGCCTTTAAAAGCTACAACATATACAGTTATGACACAAAACTGTTATGAATTTGTCGCCTGATGCCTGACACATTGTTCTGAGATAAGCTCTTGGCCTAAAATGTAATTTTGAAATACATTCATGTCAGAGAGGTACATGCAGGATGATATCAAGTTGTCAAGGTTTGGTAACATATTTCAGACAACTAAGTAAGACAACTACTGCCAGGTATTTTAGTGCCTTACTCTTCAGGCTTCTATGAAAACCTCATACTGTTTTGCCATGGTATTAGTTAAGTGAGAACTGTTTAGACATATGTGTTAACAATAAGCTGATCACTCAATCAATGTTCACTGAGATTAAACTTAATTTCAAAATTTTGACTTCATCAACATAAATCCTGACTACTATTCACATACTTACAATGTTCAAGTGAATCTTGACTAGATATTATCCAAATTCCTCTACAGTCCTCCAGCCCTATTTGCTTAAATAAGACAGCAATGCTGTCAAAAATAAGTGTAATATTTCCAAAATAAATACCTGCCAAAAATAGTTAGTGCTGATACCAAAATGTTTCTAACAAATCCTTCAACAACAAATACTAATGAATGCAATGGAGGAGTTTGTTCGAGCTCAGGTGAGATTGCATGCAACCTGGCATCTTGGCCAAACCCGGCCACCTCAGAGGACACCATAGTCTGCTGCACATGTGCCCCACAGAATGAGGCACAACTGTTTAGGTATAGTTTGGCAATAAATCAAATAGACACAGTTTCCCCTAACCTCAAATGTAGTCAAACGTTCTTTCTGCACTGGAGCTATGAGGCTAATGTAGCTAACAAGTAATGGAAACTTGAACCCATCAATTCGCATCATGCAAACTGCAAGCCTAAATCATCACACACTCAAGCCGTGCTGAGGTGTTAATAATTTCAAACAGACTTGCTTGTGTGGTCTCGGACACTTAGTCACATACGTTTATCTATAAAAATAAACAAAGTACACTGCAAAGCTCAAAACGGGAATAACACAGTAGTATGCACACTTTTATAGACGGGTGAATATGACAATATTTTATCATTGTTCTGATAAATTATGTTACAGTATGCTTTTCTGAGCATGACATGGATACCATCAGTACAGGAACACTGAACAACTGCATATTTCATTACAAGAAGAGCATAATTAGTCCAATTTAACTAGATTTAGTGCAGCAGTATGTGAAACGCGTTATATGCTTTTACACTATACCGATGCTTTAAACTGGGTTCTGCTGTTTTGTTTTTTTTTTTGTCTTTTCCAACTTATCAAACGAAATATTATTTATAGGCATAACGTGTATCGTAAAAAAAGGGGTCAAACTTCAGATACCAACCTTGTCTTGGCAGACCAACTACATTTAAGGGGGAAAACTGTTTAATCAATATGACCGTAGGCTTAACCTCACCTGGTGACAAGATCTAAAAACTTCTACCTTTTGGTCGATGATGGAGCAGACCAGGTCTTTGACAGCGTTGAGTGACAGGTCATGCGCCTCCAGGTTGACCGTCTCTCTGGTGAGTCCGATCTGCAATAGGAAGGACACTCCATGGAGAGATCCTCTAGAGAGCGTGGGGCTGGGAGCGCTGTGGCTGCCATTGGACAGGCGGTGGTAGAGGGCCACTGGGGGGCTGGGGGATGGGGACGGAGTGGGTGGCGTTGGTGGGTGCTGAGAGTGGAGGTAGGCTTTAGGTAAGGGCGTCGGAGGAGTCGTGCTGCTGCAGGCAGACATTGGCTTTCCTCCTACGGCTGAGATGACTGCTGTGTAAAACTGGAGGTGACAAGCTTGAAATCTGTGGCTCAATACCACCGAGCCTCTGAGTCAGCAGGTGTTTTATGTGGACATCTGATCCTAATAGAGCAGGTCAACAGTGCCTGAACTGCTGCAGGCCTGCGCTGTCCATAGCATAGGTTACAAAATTCTTCTCACCTTTGTTTTTGCTATTTCCGAGGCTATACATATAGCGTGAAGATCGAGATAGCATATTCTGATGCTCTTGCTGCACACCTCAGTGCCTCTGGTGCTCTATGGTGTACATACTGGATCGATGAGAGCTCCGTTCATGTTCACGTCTCAGCTGAGCAATCAGGACCCCAGCTTGAGCCTTGACAGAGCGACGGTCATCCTAGAGCTGGTTTAGGTCTTCAGGTGCCATTCCTGCTATTGAAGCTCTATTAAAAAGAGACAATTAAAGGTTAGTAAGTGTGTTTTCTTACATAAAACTATGTAATTACTACTGTTAGTAATAAATTACTAATTAAGCAATTAGATGAAGTGAACTACTAGGCTATTAACATTTGAAGCTATGTAGAGACTAAGAGATCAGTAAATTCATTAATAATGATGTACTCTTCAGTAATAAGAACTTGTAAATATTTCAGGAGGAATCATATTCATAATTACTTTATGTTCTTTAAGTTAAATTCATTAAGCTGCATGAGGAATCAGCAATGGAGATAATATCTGCTCTTTGTTTACCATTTTCACGACAAATAATCTACTTTGTACAATCACTGCTTTCTATTGTAGCAGTTGTTCGCTACAACTAACATCTGGAACCACAGCCATTCCACATCTGGAGAGGATCCTCCCACTCTTGATCGCAGAGCTGGCAGAGGACCACGAATGCCAGCAAAACAAGTTATACAATGGCTTTGTTTGCGCTCAGTAAAGACTGCAATAGTAGTATATACTTGAGCAACGAACTCTGGATCAACCTCATCGTGTAAATACTGCACAATGAAACCACAGACGACCTTAATATTTAGACAAGGCGTTTTCTTCTCCGTAACAAGTGGACTGCAAAAGCACTTGAACCCCGTGCGTTCAGTGGAAAAACGAAGATAAGGAGGTCGTTCTCGGAGCCCCTGGCTTGGTAACAGAAAAATGGAGCTTTAAAATCCTAAACAGTACCTGTTTCCGATAGCTGATCCCTAACTTGAACAGTTTTTGAAAACTTTTCTTCGGCTTACTCCAGGTGGCGACGAGCTACTTCATGCGCATCTTGTTCTCCTCCCAGCTGTAGCGACTCCCTCCATCTCCGCAGAAAGAAGAAGAAATACTCTGAGTTCGGGGAAAGCAAACGAGGCTCCTGAGCCCGAAACGGCCCAACTACAGCCCCATAAATGCGATGGGTTTCAGACTTTTTTCCTGCCCTTGCAGCCCGCGCATGCCTATCCTGTACGCAGTTTCCGTTATGTGGACGGAGGCTGCAGGCGTTTTAGCGGCCTCTACTGGTAGAACGCAAATAAATCCAACAACGAGCGAGGGGCAGCTGCAGCCTGGCTTTGTGTTGAACTCACGTCTTACGGCTCCATCAGCTTTTTCAACAAGTTACACGTGCGTATAACCAATGCTGGGCAAAATACTTCGAAAAGGTAGTGATGACTGAATACTAAATACACTGTCCTAAAAGTACTGTAATTCCATTACAATACTTAAAAAAGTAACATATTCAGTACTCACTAAGAATACATTTACAATACATCTTGGGAAGGCATACTGGTTTTTCTTTCTTCATACTGTTCCTCACTGTTACTGGTTTGCAGTTTTCTAATGTTATGATTCTGTTAATATGTTTCTTATTTTTGTCTCTCATCCCTGCTTCATTCCACTGCTGAGTTCAGTACAATTCCACACCACTCACAAACATATCCACCACTGAGGAGATGATTAATTTAATCATTCCTTTAAAATAGCTCAGTAACACTGTAATTCATAACTGGCACATGACGGTGATTTATCAGTCTACTCAGGCTTTAGCAGAGCTCAGTAACACTGTGATTAATAACAGACTCGTCACATTGATTCATCAATCTACTCAGGCTTTAGTAGGAACTTCAGTGTGTCAAGACGCCAGCAATTGAGTTCCTCCTTAGAATTCATCTAACAAGCAGGTTTGTTACATGATGAGCAAGGTAAAGGGGAGCTAACAATTTATGCAGAGAAACACAATAATACAATCTGTCACTCTAGAACTATGAAGTAAGTGTACCTATATAGTAAGATATAATAGACAATGAGTGTACATACAAGGTAGGTGTACCTAAGAAAATGGCCAGTGAGTGTATATACACTAGCATTCGAAAGCGCGAGAAGAGTGGCAATATTTATAGTTTTTGTTATTGTATGTACACCTTATGTGAACAAATTTGGTGAACAAAAGTTTTTATACAATAAATAATACACTAATTTCCTTTTTTGTCAAGTTACCTGTGTTGATATTTGATCTCCATAAACATTATGAATTTTGGATACTTGTTATTGGTATTATAACATAATTCTTAATGGTATACAGAGTTCTCAGTTATTTTGGAATCATCTATGGCTCCCTTCATCATTCCGGATACAAACACACACACACACACACGCACACACACACAAAACATGCACTTATCTCATAATAAGCAGAATAAAAAAATAGAAGAATAAAAGAGGGTTTTTCAAAGGTTCTTTAGTACAGAAAATGGTTCTGTCTTAAATGATTCTTTGCATCGTGAAAGTGTTCTTCAGTTCGATGAAGAATGTGCTGTTGATGGTACTATATAGAAACTTTTTTGAAAAGGGTTTTATATAGCACCAAAATGGGTTCTTCTATTGTTACAATGTCAAGCTTATTACAATATAAGAACTCTTTTAGGTGCTATACACAACCCTTTTCAAAAATGTTCTATATGGAATATATGGAATCATCAACAGCACATTCTACATTAATCTGAAGAACGCTTTTGTGATGTTAAGAACCCTTTAATCATGCAAAGGGTTCTTTGAGTGTTTATGGTTGTAAACAGAACCATTTTCCTTACTAAAGAACCCTTGAAGAACCATCTTTTTTAAGTGTGTATATATTTAAATATTTATTACATTCTATCTTTTGTTATTTAGAAAATTATTCAATAAAAAATAAAACCGAACACTGAAAATATATTATGGGCGTATTTGTTTTAATTTAGCCAAATACAGTTATAGGCAATAAATGACAGTTAATACTGTGGGAAGGAAGGATCGATCTTCTTGGCCCACGCCATAAGGCCTCCACTGATGTCTTTCACAATAATTTGCTCTAGTTCTGATCCAGACAACTTCTCCAGGATCTGCACAGCCTTCTGAGAATCATTCCCCAGTTTACACACCACAAACACTAGCCATGAGAAAAGGAAAAGACAGAGAGAGAGAAAGAGGGTGGGGAGAAAGTGTGGTTAGCTCAATCCATGTCTGTTACAAGCTACGCAAAAAGCAGTTCTAAAGGGTGGGGAATATGTGGCTCTGGGAGCTAGTGGGAAATGTGCTAGTAGCATAGTTTTATAATGTTAGGCCAATTACCCAGCACCTACCTTATTTCAAGCCATGGTATTAAGTAATCTTATCTTAATCGAAGCACTCTAGCTCAAATAGAGCTTCTCATCTCTAATAAAAACACACCTCATACAAAAGCTTGATTATGGAACAGGAGGCCAGCTGTTTCTGATGACCAGGCTATTTCTGTGTTGGAAAATGACTGCTTAGCAACGCCATCACCTCCATCCTCATTGGTCATCCAAGAAAAGCAAGTAGTCTGGCAATGCAACGTTACAAAAGCGTAATTAGCCTGAGGAAACTCAGATTACCCCTCTTTTGTTCCCTCACTATGAAGCTAGCCCAGATATCCCATGATAGGTGGCTGCAGGCATTTGGTGCACAGCGGGAGCGCTTACTGTATACACAAGGTAGGATCATTAAACACACAGGGCTCAATACACTTGCAATATATAGAGTACTGATGCTCGCCTTGTGATAACACTCATTTGAGCTGAGAGAAGCACTGCTAGTAGAACAGAGACAGGCAAGGAGGGTTAGGACATATCACTGTTTACATTTGAGGGATATGATTTTATTTCCCTCCCTTCTAATCTTCAGCTAAACTTGTGTAATGTTCAAGAATATGTGCTGACCTTCACATTACACAATTATATATCAAGTTTTATAACATGCCTCTTTACAACACCTACATGTTCTCTTCACATAATAACATTTTTGGCAACAAATCTCATAATTCATTCAACCAGAAGTGAGCTATACCTTCAGGGGAATGAGCAGAACTTTCGCTGCCAGCAAAGCTAGTTAACTTATTACAATTTAATGCTTTTTATTTGTTTTCCTACAATCCCAATACAATATTCAGCATGAGAGTTATATACATAGATCCAAGTTAGATTACCAGTGTTAATACTGTTTTATGAGCTCCTTCCCATAATCATTCTTCAAAACACAGCTCTAGTTTGGATACCCTGAATGCATTAAAGATATGTCATATATCAGAAATGAATCGTCCTACACCCCTCCATGGTATATATGCTTTGAAACATCTCTTGTTGCATTTTATTTAACTACTGGTGTTCTTCAGTGAAAGGCTAGACAGTTTATAAAGATTTGAATTTGATCAAGTGCTTCCTTGAATGTATCTATGTTATAATTAATTATACATTTTTTTGTAATTACATACAATAATTATTTAATAATTTGAACCCAATGTATAGCAAAAGGACAGTAATAACTTCTAAGAGTTCAAATATTAAAATAAGATATTCAGCAAATATTGCTTTCCACACTATAAAAGCGGCCCATTGTGGAGAATCTTCAGCCCTCTAAATGTAAGTATGTAAGGGTATGTATGGTGGGTCCATGCAAAACCTTTACTCATTACCTGCTACTTGTGATTCCACGCTCTGCTCTTTCAGCTCACTGATCTTCTCCTTCAGCAGATTAACATGATCTGTCTTTCGCTCCTCTAAACTGGCAAGAGGAATATCTATTGGTAAAAATATGAACTGTTTAAGTAGGATGTAACCTAATTACTTGTGTACATGTATTATTCAATAATATAATAGCCAAACAGGATCTGTATTAACTGATATGATGAAAACCATTAGAAAACATACTGATTGAAGTCGGCAAACAGCAAATGTCCACCTCCACTTTGGGGCGAACGTCAAGGAGGAGATGAGGAGTAACTTTGTCTACAATGGATTTATACTCCTGCGGTTAACAATACAGCATTTATGAGTGGACTGGGACAAGAATGGATTAATCCTGTTATTACTTTGACTTGTCAGAGTATGTAAGGAAAAAATAATAGACACAGCGATATATACGAGGTAGTGATGCATGAATACTTTACCTGCACTGAGATCCTCTGTTCTGAGGTTAGAAGATTCAGTCTTCGACACTGTAAAATGGGAGAACACTGATAATGACCATTACTGGGAAATGAAACTATTCTAGGTTAGTACTGACTAGATGGGGTGGTTTTGAAGGCTGTGTTTGGTCAGATATCTCAGAATATTTCTATTTGGCTGCATGCGGCTGTGTGCTTGATTTGCCTTAGGTGTCATATTGTTTTCAAAGGTAAAGACAAGCATTTGTTAAACCCACAGCCACACAGTTGCCTGTCTACCACTGAATAAAAATACAATTCCTATTAGTCACAGTGACCTCTTGTGGACATTTACTGAGCTGCATATACACAGCACCAATGGGGGAGGGGTGGTGTTCATACAAACAGAATTTTGTGTATTATCTTCTAATTTTATAATACAATCTTTTTACTGAGTGTGCAGCATTGAACCACAGTAATGTTGAAACACTGGCAGCTGATGATGTGCCTAATGTTATGCTTAGGGGCCACCCAAGTATAGACTATGTATGAGAAAGAGTGAAGTACAAGGAATCACTTCAAATTACACAAAAGGAATACAAAGTAAGAACAGAGGCATATCCACATGATACACAAGTATACTTTAGTTTCCACTAGGAAAGCAGCAGGATTTGCATATGCTAATATAACAAGGCACCATGATAATATATGGCCATTAAAACTGTATGTGAAAATTTGAGACAAGAAATCAATTTGCTGGCTGACAAACTGGTCCCTCACAGGGGTCTTATAGGTAATGTTAGCTACTGGTAGTTCCCAACCCCGGTCCTGGAGGCACAATGCTGTGCATATTTTAGTGCTTTCCCTGCTTTAGCACAGCCTTTTCAACCCAATAAGGGGTTGTAAACGAGCTGATTAGTAAGATCAGGTGTGTTGGGTATAGGATAGACATTAAAATGCACAGGGTAGTGGGCATCCAGGACCATGGTTGGGAAACACTAATGTTGTGGGTCGTGACTAAATTTGCCCCGTAATCAATATTAAGAGAAATCTTAAGAGAAAACATTTTTAACAGACATACTAAATGAAAAACATTCAGGTTTATATCTGAAGCGAAATGTTATCATGAATGTAATGTTAAATGGTGATAGATATGTATAGAGCTAGCTAAGTGTTTAATTACATTGCTATGTGCTAGACAGACTAGTCCTTCTAACAGCAAGCAGGGGTGGATTTAGTGATTATGGGGCTGTAGGCAAAAGACAGGAATGGGTCCTCCTGAACACACAACTTTACATTAGTTAATTAGTAGAGGCTCTGGGCTTTACACTGTAAAATGTATTTAATTTCACACTTTAAAAATGATCTTTTAAAGTGATATCTTAAATCTTGTCAATATATCTAATATTTCTCATTTTCTCATTTTGAGATTGCTGTAAAAATAGAATAAGATTATTTAACGTATTTCTAGACATTAAATAATTAAGCAGTTTTATTAAGTGAAATTATTTCACTATAGTGGCAGATAATTTGGTGGTTGTTGTACAGAACAACAGAAGCAATAAGTAATGATTTTTTTTTCAGAAAGTAATAAACAAACCATGACATTTTTAGAAATGTAATTACTAACTTGTAATGGATTTTTCTTTTTGAGTAACAACATAGAATAGTCCATTATAACCATGAACGGGGACTAAGGCTGCATTAAAATTACTGAAAATAATCACTACAGTCACAAATAACAGCCATTTTATATATATATATATATATATATATATATATATATATATATAAGAATAGGTTATTTAACATCAATACATATATATAATATAGTACAAGTAATTCGTATTTTCATGGGGGTCCTAGGCTGCCAACTTTTGCCTAATGCAAAGACTACCTCTGACAGCAGGTCAAAATACTCTCTTCAAACTATATTACACCACTGAGTAAGAGAAATATCTACCACTGCAGTACACAAGTGCTTACACAGGAAACTGCCCTGCGACATGATTCTAACCTTATCTGTCGCAGCAGAGCCACAGAATTTCTCGTAGTCCTGCAGTTCTGTGACCGTGGGCGTCTCTCCACACACAGCACAGCCTGCCTGTTTGGGCCTAAGCTTTATGGAACGGAACCGGCCCTCCTGACCATCAAACATCAGCAGTTGCTGCCCAAAAGACGCTGCATCAACCAGTCAAAGAAACATTTTCACATAGAGTATTCCATAAAGTAATGAGCTGGTGTAGTGAACTATGAATATTTTATGTGTTTCCACTGAAGGATACATCCTTGGCCAGAGGCAATCTTCAGAACCTCTAAAGCTTGAAGACAGCCCATGATTCCAGGCACTGCAAGGAGGAAGCACATATGGTTTTATATTGCAGAGGTTATGCCTTTGGCTTGAAAACTCAGGGCACCTATAATTACCTGTGGCAAACTTTGTCCCATGTAGGAAAGTAAACATTTTACAGTTTTAGAGTTCAGTTTATTTATACATATATATGTTTACTACACACAAGGGGCCAGTTATGTTAACTGGTGTCTGCCAAATATAATGAGAGCTGTAACTGTGTCATAGATGGTTAGAGTTAAGCTGCATCAGTCAGTCGCAGAGAACTGTTTTCACACATTGTGTGCCATAAAGCAGAGTCAGTGAAGTGAATCTTCCTTGACTGATCGAGCTGTTAAGTGTACATACAGCAGGAAAACAAGAGAAGGAGCTCCTCTCTCGGCTCTGTCTAGAACTTTGTCATTTCTTCCTCAAAATTGTTACAAACTTGAAGTAAGTTTATTTGTAAAGCGAAGAAACAATCTAACTTTCTAAACTGAACATATTCAACTAATGCTGTGTGAAATCATCTCTACCAGTGTACTGTGATGTTACTATATGCAATATGACACACCACAATAATGCAGTTTAGTGATAAACCACATATCTGATGACAAGCATTAATTCCATGACATAATGCCTAAGAAACAGTGGTTTTCCTGTTTCCAGTTTAATTCTGTTTTGTAGAGCTTGCATTTTCTTAGCATTCAGGAACTGCAGTTCAATGTAATGGTTGGTATTATTTGTTGGGTGCTTCAGATTGCTTTAAAAGAAGTTTAAAATCCATAAAAATGTATTTATATAATAAGTAGTAAGTTTCCTTTCTGGAATTGTAGTTTTTGTCTAGGCTTGTCACGATACCAGAATTTTGATTTTGATACTGACACCAAGTGTAGTATCACAATGCTCAATACCAAATGATACTATGGCAAAAAGTTTAAAACACTGTATGAACACAAAATGTTGAATGGGTTGGAAACAATACAGCTTAATTATTTTTTTATCTTAATACATTTTTTAAATTCACTCTTTTTTATCAATACAAAACTCTTCAAAAGCAGGCAAAATACAATGTCAACATAGCACTAGCTTATTTAAATAAACAACTGAAAGTATAGAAAGTACCGAAACTTAGAGTACTGAATGGTTTGCCAAATTGCAGTATTGATAAAGTATTAAACTTCTGATACTTTTTGTAACTCTGTCTGGTTAACATCTCTGTAATTTTCTTGTAAGACATTCTGTGCCAGTACTCAATTATGTCATGAACATGAACTAATGCCAGCTTAAATATCATCTGGTTCAGTGATTCTGAGAATATTATGATATTGACTTTTATCAATATCACTCAGCACTATATTCAACTCTAATTGCCAGCATCCATTCTAAAGTTCACACAATTGCCTTTTACAACGTTCTAAAACTGGTCATATGAGTGGGTACTAGGCTTTTAGACTCACCCACTCCTAAGACTCCACCATCAGAGCAATTAGTAACCGTCTCAGGTGGTGGGGGGACAGGATACAAACACCTGTAACACGGCCCTCCTCTGTAGTTGTACACAGTGAGCTATGAGCAAAAAAGAAAGAGAGTCAAAGTGAACTTTTACGTAGGATCTTTTCAGAACTCACATACTCAACCACTGTAAAGCATGTATAAGTTTAATTTTGCTCTGAGAAGCAGTCTTACCTGTCCCTCCATTCGCAGTGCGCTGGCAGACACTAAAGGCTTGCCACTCAGAACACAGGCATCATTGACAAGGTAGCGTGTGGGGACGTTATCTGAACAGTCAGCCACAATGTCATACATAAAGAACAGGTAGTCAAGGACTCAAAGTTATACATTTTAGATGTATACAAAAATGACAATGTACAACAGCAGAGTATGAAAGGATACTGTTGAATGAGTTGTAAGGCATTCTCAGATGATAGCTGGAGATGATATGGAACACACTGCACTATAGAATTCAACCTGTCAGAACAATGAAGTTAACTCTAAGCACATAGACAGGGTGCCTGTTGTCTATCTGACACTATTATAATAATATCTGAAAATACAATTTGGGCACATAAGTTTTATTTATGGAGGTATGGTGATTAGCAGAGTACGTCTATGATATTTAGTCCCGTCTAAATCTGTAATATCAGTTTATCAGTTATTACGCATTCCCACGTCTGTAAAGATTATGGCAGCGTTTACTTAATATAAACTGAAGCATATAAATAACAGTTAATAAATAATCTTTCAGAAATATCTTTCTTAAGTATGGAGGCTCTCAAGTGATCGTGCATCGTAAGTATAGCCTACATACAGTGCCTAGGCTTCAAATCGTTGCAGAGGTTTTGGGGGTCTCCTGATGGAAAATCTAGATGACTTATATACTAATGCATACTATTTTCACAATATATTTTTGGGGCTTACCCCTGTAGTTTTTTCACTTATATTATTAGACAAGAGTCTTTCTAACTTCATAATATCTGTATCAAATGACTTTTACACAAAGAAGCTGACAGGAACACATGTTAAGTAAATCTCACAGCCTTCCTTTTCTCAGTTATTCAACCTATAGTCACTGTCAGAACAAAATCTCATATCTCCAAAAAGTAACTTTACAAGAGAAGGAAAAAAAAGTTAGTATGTTGTTTGCTGTGCAAAAATGTGTTATTACATAATGTGATTCCCAGTTTTCCCAGACAAGGCAAGTTTACAGTTTATCCATAGGGCGGAATCTAATACTAAACATGAAGAAAACTTGAAAAAGAAGCTAGTCACCTCACATGAGGGCATTTGTTTTTTTTTTTTTTTAGAAAATTCAAAGGAATTTGTGCCACACTTTAAAATGTATTAGGTTCATTTTGTTAGGAAATAAAACTAGGTAAGTGGCATTTATTTTATACAGACCATTCCAAGAACTTTCAAAAGGCAGCTGGTGTGGTTCAGTCTACTAACTGCCCATATGCTCAACCCTCATATGCTCATCTCTGTAATGTACACAGCAATCTTTTACGCTTCTTTTAGACCAGATGTCTGAATAGTGCTTAAGACACATGTTGCATATTGGTGTAAGATTAATAGGTACCTGTTAAGAGCCTGTGCTGCTGACTGGGCTTTGGGCAGACCTTGAGTGTGTTCTGTATGCAGCACCTGCCTGTGCAGATTACTCAGCTCCACCTCATCATAGTCCAGTAGCCCCAAACGCCCTGAAAGTATATAATATACAAACACAGCTGCCTGCAATGACCAACGGATTTTGCAGAGACCAATTTACATAGAGGACACTATTGAGGATTATATGTGTGTCATCATAAATTACATTAGCTGTCTTTTTTTTAACCATAATGGTGCATGGCTCACTAAACTGATAAAGATATCAGGGACATCTAGCACAGAGATAATCACTAACTGACCCACGGTGCTCTCCTTCAGAATCATTTCAAAGAGTTTCCTTGTAGTGCTTGTTGCATACTAGGCCTACTGCTTCCATGTTCGGTGCTAGGTCTAGTCAACTTTGGAAAGCGTTATTTATTTATCCATAAAGTGGTGTGACCACCACAAAGCTGAACTGAATGGATAAACTGAAAAATGTATTACTGCCAACTAATCAGAAGTCACAAAGCAGGAGTTCACAAAGCATATTTAACTGGGACAGGGTTCCTGACTAAGTTTCACCTTCATAAAACCTAACAAATGGTCAACTAGTTTATGATAGCAGTTAACTGCTTTGGTATTAGATATTGGAGCTAAAATTAATCCTTGTAAACACGCACATGAAAGCGTGACATTTATGACAAGCAGCCAATCGCGTGAAACCTGAAAAGCTGAGCAACTTGTTTTTCAAAAAATGAAAAGGGAGAAATCATAATACATAAATACATATAAAATAATGCACTTATAATGATAAAAAGCAATGCCGTCACCATTGCCACCATTTTGGTGCGTATAAGAGTAATAAGAGCTTTATAATCTTGATATCTATGTAATATGATTTGTTTTCTCTGAAGAAAGCAATAGTTTTCACGTGATTGACGCCACAAATATCATGAACAATAAAGTGACCCTAAAAGGAACGGAGGGGTGCACCTCTGTCTGAAGGCTGTCCTTGATTGGTTCAAGAGCTGTTTATGATCTGAAATCCTGAACTTAATCTGGCCTGGAGCAGGTTAGGTGTGCAGCATAAATTGCCATGGTGAAAAGACTAAAATCCACAGTTAGTTTGAACAGCTGGCTAAGCAACAAATCCTGCTTCATAAAACAGGCCCCAGTATTTGAGTAAATGAGTAGTTTAGTTAACCTACACCACTGCATTTGTTGGTTATGAAGAAAACGTAAGATTTTATTTCATTTGGAGTACTTGTGTTTTTTTAAACACCTCACAACTTTTCAGATGTGTATTTGTGGCACAGACATCATAACACCTGCAGGTTAGCCAGCTGCACTCATAATTCAGGTGTGATAAATGTTGTACTGAAAATACAACTTTGTTTTATTTACTGTTTGACAGTATGCTAGCACACCACCAATACAGTTCACTGTGCTTTGTGCTTTCATTACTTCATGATAACGTGCTACATTTCATATGATCAATATTACTATATTTCTAATACTATGCAATTAAATGTGGAAGTGTAGTACACCCTTTAAAAACATGGTTCTTCAGGGGTTCTTTAATAGAAGCAATGGTTCTATTTATAACCATATTATGCTTAAATAGTTCTTCAGATTGATGGAGAATGTGTTGTATATGGTTCCATATAGAACCTATTTGAAAATGGTTCTCTATAGCAACAAAAAGGGTTCTTCTATCATTATGATATAATAACAATAGAAGAACCCTTTTTGGTGCTGTATAGAACCATTTTCAAAAAGGTTCCACATGTCCACAAACAGGCAGACATATCCACGTCTGCTTATTTGTATGAATACTTCCTTTACTGTCCTGCAATGTTGTAATACAAACTTTATTTCAAGAAACAGTGGTGTCACTTTCTTGTTTGAGAACTCCATCATTACTTTTTAGCCCCGAAGCAGATCCTGAACCTACCTATTCCTGCAGCAGCGAGGTACTGTGCAAGCGGACAGCCTAAACCTCCACATCCCACAACCAGAACAGATGTATTTGAGAGACTCATCTGACCTGGACAGAGAGCAGACCGGATGTGAGGCCTGATTTGCCAAATGAAAGCAAAATTTGATTCAGATTATGTTCATTAAACTGTTACCTTTAACACCGAGCTCTGGCAAGAGAAGCTGCCTACTGTATCTCATAATGTCTTCATTGGTTAACGATGTGTTTTTCTTCAGAGGGGCCAGAACAGATACGCGGTCTTCTAAGTCTGCTACTAAAGAGTTAGCCTGCTGAAACAAACAGAGAGAGGAACAGCTTCTAGGAAAAAGTGGCTTTTAAAGATAGAAGCAGGACTGATGCTGCAGGCTGTAACTAACGTTACTGTACACGTGAATGCTGTTCGGACCTGTTGAACGAGTTTCTTCTTTAAAGCAGCAATTTCCCTGTCTTTCTCCAAGAGTTGTTGCTTCAGGCTTAAAAAGTCGTCGTCCATGTCGAAAATAAAACGATAAAAAGGAATCAGACCGGCTTGAAACGCACGGAGCTATAACGGTACTTAACATGCAGCACAGCTCCACACGAGCCGCAGCTTTCTTCCTGTTTTGGCAACGTCATCAAATACGTGATGAAGCGTCAATGTCTCACGTGTTTTCATCAACCAATCAAAGAACAGATAACAATGTAACTTTAAAAATGAAATAATACATCGACGTGCATAGCATTTGCCACTGTCTGATGAGTAAGACTGTGAAGATAAGGCCTTAATCTTGTTATAGTTTACTAAGGATTGGATTGCACCCTAGTCAACCTCCTCAGTGTGAAAATGATTTGCATGGAAATCTAATTTTCTTTTTTCTTTCTTTCCTTTTTTCTTTTTTTATTTTCTTAAATGCTTAACACGGTTTAGCTATTTGGTATTTTAGACTAGACTGCAGGCAAAAAAATATAACAAAAAAAACATTGTCTCCTATTATTGGACGCAACAAATCTGATATAGCCATGTATGTACATATATCATATATGTGTGTGTGTGTGTGTGTGTGTGTGTGTGTGTGTGTGTGTACACACACACACACACACATATATATATATATATATATATATATATATATATATATATATACACACACACACATATCAAGTTTGATCATCTGTGTACTGTCTGTCGGATATATGTGTTTACAGACATATGTATACATCATAGACCATGTATACATATAGACCATACATGTATGTCTGACACAAACACTTCTTCTTGTTTAAAGCAAAAAATCAAAATGAAAGCCAGCAACATGCATGCAGTAAAACGCTTTATATTATATAACATGAACCTAGCATATATGAGTAACATATGACATCCAACTTCAAGTGAGTATATGTCACATATATATCCATAAGTGACTATTATAAGTATATAAGGGAAATCCATATATGCTAGTATATGACATATGTTTGAAATTCATATATGGCCATGAATCAGATTTCCGTATTGGCATTTAACCCGCAGAAAGTGTGAATAGGGAAAATATCATGTTCTATAGCTATTTAATACTTTAATAACTACTCAGTATTAAAGTTTCAGAGTTTGTGAGGAATCATTTTTGACTAACACGAATGTGTGCATCAAATATTTCCCTCCTTATCTGGCAAAGCTGTGTTTAAGGCGAGCGTGTGAACGTGTCCCCAGGCTGAGTGTGAATGAGAGGCAGGCTTGTGTCCGGGCTTTACGGGTCCTCCCTCGAGTCCCTCACATGACCCAGAGCTGTGGAGAGCGAGCGGACCGCGCCGTGCGTGAAACAGCCTGAGGAGACACGACCGCTTCGATACGAGCCCACCATGTGCCTCCTAACTTTACTCGGCGTCTTTTTGACTCTCATGGGCTCAATCAGTGCCCAAATACCATGGACACAAGAAAAGGTACCCTTATTTTCCTTCCATATTCTATGCGGAGAACGTAGGCGCAGAATCTTTGCGTAGTTCAGCAACTAATACCGTCCAATGAAAAGATTCTCTCGAACAGATGGATTTTTATTTGATCAGAGCAAGTAAATCAAGTTTTCCAGTATTCAGTGCTGGTGGTCGTTTAATCGGTAGTGTTAGATCGTAATGGGTGATTCATGAGTTAAACCAACAAGTGTAAGTTTTGGCAGTATCAAGCCACGGACTGTTACCATAGTTTTCTTCTATAAGCCTGTGATGTTATGCATTTCTTATTAAACTGTATTTTATGTCGATGTACAACCTATTGATGGCGTCCTTTTAACTCGGCTTAGTCTTGTCTTTTTTATTTTTTTCCAGTAAAATACACAATCTAGACAGTTTGCTACGTCTACCGCCAATGATTATTGCATGAGGATCATTTTGGCTACAGCCTACATTAGTGGATTTTATGGATGTCTTTTATGCCGAGCCATTTGGGGGAGAGAGACAATTCATGTGTTCAGCCTGTATCGTAGGTGGCTTAGACATCCTCATCCCTAGAGCCTGGTCCACCTTGTTGTTCAGTCTCTTTCTCTCTCCGTCTTCGCCTTGTTGCTATGGCAGCGCACTCCTCTTCATCGATCCCCCAATGAGATCATGGTATTTATAGATCTGGAATAGAATCCCATTAGAATTTTTCTCAAATTCCCAAGAGAGCGTATCTGAACGGTACTGTGTGGCCTTTAAGTTGACATGTAATTCGTGACTGTTCTGTCAGTAAAGGTAAACTGTCTTGCGTTTCACTGCAGGAGCTGTCTCTCTCCTTCATATCTGTACCTGGACATAATGTGCTTTATCTTTATCTAGATCTGTACCCAGACATACCCCGTCAGTGAGATGTGTGTAAATAAAGTGGTTGCTTCAGACATGATGCAGGCTGGAGCAGTGAGCAGCAGGTCTGCCTTTAAAGAGCCCATACCCTACATTTTGTTTGTTATGTTATTATTTTCCTTGAGTTCCATTATAGCATTTGTGTGGTTTTATGTACTCCAGAAAGTCCTAATATATTTGTACCTGACCATTTTCCTATATCTGTTTATTGCTGAGAACACACAGGCTGTTTTCTGTCCTGTATTATGCCTCATTCAAAAAGTAGTCTAGGATGAAACGCTCCTTATGACTTCAACATGAACAGGCAGGCTAAACTGCTGTGGGCAGAATAACCATACATATGTAAATATAAATGTAACTATGACATCACAAAAACAGTGCATTCCAAATGGGCTATTTTTAATTTTTTCAGTTTACTTCTTCATATATGGATCTAATAGATTGGGGAGTGAGTGGTACGTCTTGAAACTTTAGCAGTATTTCCATTGAAAGAAGCAAAAATTCAATTTTCCATGCTGTGAGCTCTTTAAATGTAGGACTTTTTCGTCATGAATTTTTAATTGCTTGCTTCATGTGCTTGGTGACTCAGAACATGAGGTGTACAGTGATGGCCATAACAGAAAACCATGAACTTTGAGACCAAACAAGAGTAACAAGTCTGACATCAGAGATAATCAATAGATCTGCCATGTATAGTTCAAGTCTGACAACTGGAAATGACACAAATCTAGAGAAGATTCTTAATGGTTAGTCTAGTATTATGTTTCATGTTTCATTTAGGTTCTCTTTCTCAGCTTTAAGCAGCCACTCAAGTTCACAGCATGATTGGAGGCTGGCTTCTAGTTCTCTTCTGTGAATAACTTCCAGCTGCAGCTGCCCTGTACTTAATGCTGTTGAAAATACTGTTGCCATGTGTGGTCATACTGAACCACATAATTACTCACCAGACATATGCAATGTATAATTTTCCCTACAAACAAGAACGAGCACGCTCTCTCTCAACACTCCCTTTAAGAGTCACCACCACATGTCTCATACGATAATTTGCAATTCAGTGATTTGCATCTACATCTAAATACGGAAAAAGGGGAAGTGTTAAGATAAACATTTGTCTGTTTGCATATATTGTGGCAAACATGAGGAATATATTTTACCAGCAGATTTATAACAAGGTTTCAGGGTTACTGAAAATGGGTTCATTTAGCAAGCAAGACATGTTGCGCAATATTTGCATAAGAGTTGCTTAATATTACAGTTATAGTTATTTACTCTATATTCCCAATTTTACAGAACTTGGTCTTTCTATTGGTTGGTCAAACAAAAACTAAACATGGCAACTTGCAAGTTAGACACTCACTGCCTCTAAGAAAAAAACTAAACTCTGTTTCTAAATTGTCCTGTATTTATTTCAGAAATATTTTGTATGGATGTTTTTTCTAGAATGTAAAATAGAAATAGTAGTTAATAGTAGACACATTAATATTAATAGTAGACACATTTTGAGATTTAAGTTGAACATCCAGTTATTTGGGCATTTTAATACATCTGGACATTAAACCATTGTTCTTCAAGATTTTTGTGTATTTTGTTAAAAGTAGAATCAATTCCTTCAATTACTGTACGGACAGTGACCAGAAAAGGTTTCTAAATGCTGTTGAATTACTTAGTGTAGTGTTTATTTTGGAACTGGTTTAACTGTGGCAAACTCCACTACAGACATTTTTAGATATGGTAATGTAAATCACTGTATATGCCTTGTATTGTATAGGCTTTGTGTAAGCTGTAATCAGCTCACTTTCACTCCTCTACCCGCACAATTCCCAGATAGCAGTATCACCTGAACATTCTGTGTCACCAAACTGGAATCAGCACTCACATTTAAATGTAGCCAGGTAATTCAACAGATTCTGTTGAATTAAATTACCTCACAGAAATGAAAAGGCTGAATTCATTGATGTGACTCAAGCCTTCATTCATCATATACCAACCAGTTTTTCTATCCTCATTTCTACTGTGATACTGCCCTATGTTTACCGGGTTCACTCATGGGGGCAGTGGCAGCATTAGAGCCAGCCATCTTCTTATAGTAACTCAGCGTCCCTCACGTCCTAGCATTTGAACCAGCCACTGTGGAATTTAGGGCCTAAAGCATTCTGAAAATTTTGCAACCCATACTGATTTTGAGGAGTTAAAAATGCACACAGACAGGGGCTTCTAAGTGTCACAACCATCTCCATGCTGGACCTATCATCAGGAGATCATAAGTTCAATCTCAGGGGAGGCTACAGTCCAAAAATCACATGTCTCCATATAAACATGTCCTTAACATTATGTCAAATATGACAGTCGGTTCTTAAATGACGAGTATCTTAAACTCGATTAAACAGCAGAAACTGGCATTCTTTAAAAATAGATAAAGCAGGTTTCTTGTAAATACTTATAAATTTACGTTAAAGAGGACGTCCACAGGACGAGCAATTCTGACTCAGTAACTCATTCTAGAATAGAGTATTTCACGTCAAACCACTGTCAATGACTTTGTTTACATCTTGACCATATAATTATGCAGAAATTTAAAAAAATATGTGGAGTTCCCCTTTAGCTTTAGCTGTCTGGTTTCTATCACCACCACAATGAATGATTTTGACTGTACAATGGCACATTTCATTTTTTTTTTTTTACAAAATTTGGATTAGTTTATTAAATTGGTTAAATTCCCCTTGATTGCCCCCTTCAGATGTAACCTTAGCATATGTAAATAACATGAACTCTCACAATGGAGAGCTCTCTAACAAATGTTCTTGTTGTGTAGTTGTTGTTTAAAGTAGCATCACATTGAATGTGTCTTTCTTATAAAGCATCATATAATAAACAGACAATAGCAGTGTTTTATCAGCAGGATTTCTGCTGATGCCAATAAATCTGCAGAACTTTAATATCAGCAAATTTTATCAGCTACATTATATATCATATGGGCTGTAGTTTTACACAGATGCTCAGCTGCATAGTACAAGAGTTTATCACTGGAGTATAATGAGGATCTGGTCAACGACATTGAATGACACTGATTAACAAGTTGATTGATTACACAGAAGCTGTTGATATGGACTTGTGACCAGGACACGCTGCTAAGACGCAAATGTGCATATGTTTTGTCCCACAATATACATACAGGCAGCATGGAGAGAGTCTAGCTACAGAGAATTTAGTTCCCAAAGGGTGCTTGCTGGATGTTTGGAAAATACATTTACAGAAGTATTTGTCAATACTGTTTATACAAATATTAACACATATTTAAAGCATTATCTGAATGGGCTCTTTAATAGGTTCAACTTTCCTTTGCAAGGACAGCTTATTCCTCAATGCTGATGCCCCAAAGACAATGCTTTATAAGTGTGCAGGATCATGCCTAACATGATACTTAAAAGCATTTTCACAACACACATATGTGGTGTGAAACTTGGTTTTGCTGAGGTTTGTGAACATGACGGAACAGAAAAAAGCACCAGTAAAACATTAGTGGTATATGAAAAAGCTGAAATGTTTTCTGTTTATCTATTATTATGCAGTTGCTACACTTTGGCTCTGTCTTTTTCATGATATATGCAGTTGTTCGTTGTCCTACTGACAAAACCCACTATATATCAGTGGCGTACTGTCACTATAAGAGCTAAGCCTTCAATTCAGGTTTGAATGTCAAAATTCAGTCAAAATGTGAGGAAAACATAATAGTAATGATGATAATGTTCATTTCTGCCAGCTTCCAAATGGAATGCTAGTAGTTTGTTAGCCTAACAGCAATTTGCATAAACACAGTTCGAGATTAAACACAGACATTTGAAGCCTCCAAAAGACATTCCTTTCCATTACCTGAAGTTTGTTGCAGACATATTCATTTATATTTTGCCTTGTAGCAGTTTCCCAGTGATTCTTCCAGTACAGAGGTCTGGCATAGAGCTGCCGCCGCTGTTTTCCATTTCTAATAACCTGCACAGTGACTTATCTGAAGGCCCAGAGTGATGTTTTTTCTCACAAAATGAATCCCATCCATTGGAAATCAACATTATGCTGATAGTTAATCTTAAGGTCGTTACACAAGGAAGACTATTTGTGCTATTTATTTAGATAACAGTAAATTAATTCAAGCATGTGTATAACTGACTATATCTTGCATACCAAACACGATTTTTCAGATGGATGCAGCATTATTTTATTTACTCTCTGACCAATCATAGTCATCTCTGGCATTGGTGTGGCGATCAGCAAGATGAAGGAGCAGCTGTGTCGCCGCAACTAGAACTTTTTCACAAATGCTAAAAGGATCAGAATCTCCAGAAACAGCCCGCACAGAGCTTATATTGAACTACGGACATCTTAGTTATAGCCTTTGTGGAAGCTCTCAAAGTTTCAGCTTATGAATGATGTAATGACAGTAGCCCACTGTTACCATTTGCTCGTTCTGTGAGAAGTACAGAAGATCTTATTTGCTCTTGAAATCAACCTTGTTTGTTTTGTCCCTCATTTCGTGTGGAGCTGCATCTCCAAAACCAGCTCAAACTGAGATCTGGAGATCTGAGCTGTGAGCGAAAGAGCTCATAAAGTTTCAGCTCCTGAAATGAAAGTGGAGAGTTTTTCTCTCACTTTTCCATGGTGGAAAGCATCCTGCACAGTTTCTCAGTTTGCCCATTTCATGAGAAGCAAAGGACCGTCTTTTTTATGCAGCATAAATTATTTGCCCAAATTAGCATTACATCTGGTGTGTGTAGTTTTGATGCAAATTCTAAATTCTGAATTCTAAATTTTCCTTTTTCTGCATCACATTTGATGGGTATTGGCCTTATCATGTTAGGACTTCTCTTCAGCTTATGACACCCTTACCAATAGGAGAGCTCACTTAGCTATATCTACATAGAAACTCCAGAGAAAAACAATTCCTGATTGGCCAGTTTCCCATGCGTTTCAAGAACTTAACCTTTTTGTTTCCATCAGAACTTGAATGAAACGAGATTAGCACTGTAATACTTACAGAGTTCAAATACAAGCATTATTCTGTAGAATAAACATGAACTAAAAATTACAGACATGTATTTTTTTAGTTCCCAGAAATCATTAGGGAAGATCCTGAGGGTTCCCCTCTGCTATACACTCAGAAAAGTATATTGTGCCGTAATCTACCATGATAGCGGTAACGTATTATATTGCAAGTACAAGCAGTATTGCATAGTGTCAGATCTGTGGCAACTAACCATACTGTCTACCCAAATAAGAAGAAAGAGCACAGACGCTTATCAGAACGGAGCAAGATGCCAAGGTGCCAAGATTATGACTTTAAATCTCTTCTTTCTCTCTCTCCAGCTGTACCACAAAGCCAGTACTCTGAGCTCCAGTGATCTGCTCAGTGTTTTGGCCCACACAAACATTGGCCGCATGTGGGAGAAGGACCTGAAGCCCATGCTGGTGGTGCGTTACCCAGGTTCTGCAGGAAGCCAGGCAGTGCAGCAGGTGTGTGTTTGTGTGCATCAGACAAAAAATTTGGCTAAAGTGAACTGTCAGAACCTGATCATATTTGAGTATCATTATGTTCTCTCTATCTCTCTACAGCAAATTAAATCTACTCTGGGCTCACTGAAAGCAGGCTGGAAGGTGACTGAGGATCACTTCCAAGGGCACACGCCATATGGCCAGATGCCTTTCACTAACATTATTGCCACTCTCAACCCTGCTGCCAAGCGGCGGCTGGTGCTGGCCTGCCACTACGACTCCAAGTACTACCCTCCTCAGTGGCATGGGAGGCAGTTCGTGGGGGCCACTGACTCAGCCGTGCCCTGCTCCATGTTGCTGGAGCTGGCCAGAGCTCTGGATTCAGAGCTGAAAACTCTAAAGGTGAGGAAACATAGTGTTACTTTTGTGAGAAAACCTTGTATCTCCAAAATTGTAAATTTTAAACATAATCTCCTGCATCTATAGCATACAGCCATTTACCACAGACAACAGTTCTGTTCTAATAATATTAGTATAATTTTTCTATTAGAAGTCTGTCGTCAAATGTTTTTTTGTTTTTTTTAAGTGCATTTGTGTGAATTTGTGTTTTATTTGTGTAAATTTTTTGCACAAAGTAAAGTGCAGCTGTCATTTTCAAATGGATTATTTTATTTACAAGCTAAACTATGCAAATGTTTCAGACATAGCTTAGATTCAGTTTGTAAATCTGTTTAGTGTTTTCTAACTCACCTACTTCAACTTGTCTGTTAAATATAAGCTCTTTGTGGTCTGATGAAGAGCCTGAAGTGTGTAGTTATATGTTGCTCCACCACTGAAATTTGCCTGCATGGGTTTGACTGACATATAACTGGCAGTCACTGCCTTTGTTAGGGCAAAGGGGAATGTTTATGTGACGGCATGACAATCAGACTGACTGGGCTGAAGAAACAGTGAGAATTTAGATGTGTCATCAAGAGAAGGGGGAAGAGAAGAATTCAAAAGAACAATGACTTCAGAATGTACAACCAACAATTGCCACATCATTAGTAGTATATGTATGACAGAGGCTATTGCAACACCTTACTTAACCTTAACCTGAATGCCAGTTGATGCATTTTCATGTATTCACCACCGGATGGCAGTGTGTGTTTATCATGTCCTGTGTGTGTCTGTCTCAGGACTCAGGGTCAGACCTGTCTCTGCAGCTGTTGTTCTTTGACGGAGAGGAGGCTCTGTTTCAGTGGACCTCCACTGACTCTCTGTACGGCTCCCGCCACCTGGCCCACAAAATGGAGAGCACTCCACACCCCCAGGGAGCTACAGACACCAACCAGCTACACGGCATTGTACGTTTCTCTCATAAACAGATGTGTCACAGTTTTTAAAGTACACATACTCTCACTGAGCCTTTTATTAGGTACTACCTTGTATTTACACTCATTGTCTATTTTATCAGATTCACTTACCATATAGGTTCACTGTGTAGTTCTACGATTACAGACTGTTTCTTTGCAAGGTTGTTATACCACCTTTAACACATTCTTTAATGGTCAGGAACCATTAAAGTATTTAGGTGATGGATCATTCTCAACTCTGCAGTGACACTGACACACTGATGTGGTACTGGAGTTTTTCAGCACTTCATGTCAATTCTGGACTGAGAATAGTCCACCAACCAAAAATATCAAGCCAACCGCATCCCATGGGTAGTGTCCTGTGACCACTAATGATGGACGAAAGGATGACTAACACAAACTGTGCAGCAACAGAAGGGCTATTGTCTCTGACTTCACATCTGCAAGGTAGATCTGTCCAATACAGTGGACAGTGATTGGACATAGTGTTTAAAAATTCCAGCAGCACTGTTATGTCTGATCAACTTGTACCAGTGCAACACACACTAACATGCCACCAAAATGTCATTGTCACTGCAATGCTGAGAATGATCCATCACCCAAAAAATATCTGCTCTGTGGTGGTCCTGTGGGGATGCTGACCATTGATGAATGGGGCAAAGGTGGGATAACAAGTTATGGAAAGAAACAGATGGACTACAGTCTGTAATTGTAGAGATAGAAAGTGCACCTATATGGTAGGTGGAGCTGATAAAATGGACAATGAGGGTAGATGCAAGATAGATGTACCTAATGAAGTGTTCAGTGAGTGTACATAGGTCCACTGTAAACTTGTATGCATTGAATAATTGTTGAGCACTGTTTCATACAATGCCCATCAGAAATCTGTAGATACTTTGCCTTTTTTGTTACCATAAACATGTATTTCCTAATAACTTTGGGTATATTTTGTGAAGCACAGCTTCTCTTAATCAAATTGCCTTCCTTGGAATGAAGAATAGGTTTTGCATAAATACTGTCAGTTTTCTTTTTCAGACTGTTGTTAAAAGCACATGTTGATAACCTTCAGGCCCAAAGGTGGTTTAAACACATAAACATTTTGAGTGCCCATAAGTACTGACACCACAGCTTGGGGATAAAATGCCTAGGAGATGTCATTCAGTGGTATAACTAGGATCTTTAGGTCCCCTTTCAAAATTACCTTCAACCAATGAAGAAAAAATGTAATTTACTTGTTTACTTGTTATTTCTGTTTCTTACTTAAGTTTATGCTCTAATGTAGACTAATGGTTGCAGTATATTATTATGGCTAAAATGAAAATGATCTCCATCGCTGCTGTGGTAAACATGCTTACTCACATCCTACAACAGTACTGGAGCAGTTTAGGGGAGATTTTCTGGTTTAATTATGAGAAAAGCCTCTTCTGATGATGAATCTTGAAGTTGGGAGGAACTTTTGAAAACTACAACTGCTTTAGGGTGGATTTTTTTCCCAGTAGCTTGTGACTGCAGAAGGAAGGCAGATAGTTAACGCTGCTGCTAGAAAACTGAATAGCCATATGTGCTAAATGTCTTTAAATTATCATTACAAAGGACAGAATGAACTTGTCAGATGAGGAAAACAAGTTAAAAGGTGCATTTAAGATACCTTACCTCAGTTTGGATTCTTTTGGATTCTCTCTTTTCTGTGGCTTATAGGGTTAAAAACTTGTCTCTAGCATTCATTTTGTGCAAATTAAAGAAAGAATCTTCTTTTTCTCTGTACGATTTTGTTCAACGATCGAGGTAAGAGTTACACTAATGCTGGCTTGGGTGTTTTCGTTAGCCCATGGGTCAGTGGCTCGGCTAGCAGAGAGTATTGGTTGACATCACTAGGATTCCTAATAGTTGTATGATGTAGTTGAATAATTCTTGCTGGGTATTGTAGTGAGAAAACACTGATGAGCAAAAACATGGAAACAATATAAAATCATGAATTTTATCTGACTGGTGAGGCTGAGTTGTAGAATATTTTGAGAGAGATGTTGGGGGACCCCACATTTTGGCAAAACAAGCTGCCCCTGAACTTTTAATAGGCACTGTAGGTTAACAATTATGTAAAATATATTTTTTCTACTGTTACTCATTTAAACACTGCAGATTCTCGAGCAGTGATTATTATGTTAATTATAGTTTGCACCTAGCACATAAGACTAAGTGGGCTTACAGAGAGCACATACACTGTCTTAGCTGTCTAAGACATTCAGGCCTTACTGCAGTCTTCCCATGAGGTAGTTCTGCAGACAGTGGGCAAAACATGACATCATGTCTTTTCTCAAAGACTGGTGGGAAGCAGAGCATTTGAAAGCTTATCTTAAAGAGTGAAACACGCCAGCACTGTCTAGAAAAGATTTTCTTTACCCTCTCTCATGCTCTCTCTCTCTGTCTCTTGGTCTTGCAATCCTTCCTTTTCTTTCTTTCTTTCCACCCACTTCCTCTCTCTCCCCCTTTTCTGTCTTTTTTAAACAGGATCTTTTTGTTCTACTGGACTTGATCGGTGGTCCCATGCCTCGTTTTGGTAACCAGTTCTCAAATACTGCCAGGTGGCTTTCTAGACTACAAAATATTGGTAAGCATTTTTCCCGCATCTTAGTCTTCTTCTCCTCCCCCAATCTGGCAGAGTGTCCTGCTCTCTCTCTCCTTCTCCTCCTCTTGTCCTTCACAGTTAAGCAGATGGTATGGATCATGGAGGGGAGTTATAGCTTTAGAATGAGACTGCAATTCTAAACAAATGTCAGAAATTATTAAATGCTGGTGGAATGGAATGGGTCATTTCAGGTTGTTATCAAGCTTAATGTTTATAAGCGCACTTTCATAAATTCTACTGAACTCATCAGCATAAGGCATCAGGCGTAATGTAATATCTTCTCAGCCATATATCACTGTGATGTCTCTCATGTTTCACAAAGACTCAGTGTCGCATAATTCATTAAGCAAGACACTTGCACTCGATCATTTGTTTATATGCTTTCTCTGACTTATTGTCTTATCAGCGTTTTGTGGTCATTCCAGAGTTGGACATACACTCACTGTTCTGTCTGCTTGCTTCCAGAGCGGCGTCTGCATGCCCTGGGGCAGCTGAAGGATCATCCTAATGAGGTTCAGTACTTCTGGCCTGGTCTGCCTGTGGGTCCAGTTCAAGATGACCACATGCCCTTCCTTAGCAGAGGTAATAACATGATGCTAACTTGTTTATTCAGCCATGCTTTATTAAAGTAGAATGCATGTCACATTTAGAACAATGGCACACACACAAAACTTAGAGTATCACAGAGTGTGGCACATCCTGAAAAATATTACAGGAAAAGTAGAACTGTGGCTGTCTGGGCTCTTCATATTAATGGTGTCCACACACGTTTAGCAATACAGTGTATCAAACCTCAGAAAAATAAAATATCATGTTGCTTATCATGTATCGTGAAAATGTCTTGGAATTATCATGATATTATATTTTTGCCACATCAGCCACCCCTAGCTGTCAGTAAATACCAACTGAACTAGAAGGGGTAGCGGTGTTTGAAGAGATTTCACCATATTCCTCCTTCTTCCCGTCATCAGCTGTAAGCCTCCAAGATCAGTTTGTGGCCCTACAATATGTGCTCTGTGTCTAAACCAGAGATCTCACCCTTATGATGGGTGAAAAATATTTTGTGTCCCCTGTAGATGGGGCCATTCAGCAGTGCTTACGCTTATCAAAATATTTTTCTCTGTATTTGAAAAGTGTCTTATAGCACCACTCTCATGATCCCCTGGGACTATGTCATGACCCCCAGGGAGGTCCTGACCCCCAGGTTAAGAACCCTAGGTCTATACCAAATTTGCCCATGGGAACATTGTTTTCAAAATTGCCCCTATTGCACCATGTGGTAAAAAATGTTCTAAAACTGATGAGGTGTATCTAACATACATTTTTCAGCTAAATATCTCTGAGGCATCTAAATTACAAGATCATTAAGCAGTTGATATGAGAAAATCGCTACATACACACTACAGGAAAACACTGCTGCACGTTTAAATGTGGTCACAAAGGTTAGCAAAAGTATGACTACTACTATAAGTTTGCTGGTTTGCATGTGGTATTTTGCTGACTTGCTTTTAATTTTTTCAAAGAAATCCTCGGGTATATTGCCATGCTTCTTGTAAACACATCCAAAGTTCAGTCTTTGAAGTTGGTTGCATATTCTGTTTCACACAAAACACCCCCAATTACAAATTTAGACTAATCATAAAACTCCACATCTCTGCATTTCCTTTTCTCAGTAAGGGCTTCTTGACAGCTACACTTCTTTTCAGACTCATAGTGTTGATTTGTCTTCTCACAGTGCAAGAGTGGAGCTAGTCTTGCAGGGTCAGACATCTCATTATAAGAATACAAATAATATTATGCATTGTTCGTATTTCTTCTACTTAGTGACCTTGTAATTCAAATGACATATTGGGGGGAAGCTTTTTTTAAACTGTTAAGGAACAACTTTTTTCATTTTTAAAATTTTACTATCAGCCAGCATTACTTTAGAGAACAGAGAGCATTGCACTGTAGCTGCGTACCTTCTTGCAGTGCCGCCTACATCCCTGCGTCAAGAATTAAACATCATCATCCTAGATCAGCTTTAATGGTCATCTGGCTCATATTTTCCCTCTTAGTCACAATGCTGGGGCATGACAGTTGCCACAGCGCTGCCCATTTGCAAGCTGTGTCAGAATATGGAACAGTGTGGTTTAATGTAAGAGCCCATTTGAAGACAAGAGAACGTTTCTGACCTCAGCACTCTATATATTCTCACAGGGGTCCAGGTCCTCCATCTTATCCCCACCCCATTCCCCTCTGTGTGGCATACCTTTGATGACAATGAGGAAAATCTAGACCGTGCCACAATCGAGAACCTCAACAAGATCCTGCAAGTGTTTGTGCTGGAGTATCTGAACATGAAAAGCCAGAATCCACTTACACAGGTCCCTTAATCTTCCACTGCCATCTTCCTGGTACACTAACATCAGGAAGTCCAACTGTGAGGTCCTCTAACCAAAAACACCAAAAGACTTTGGGCTCCAAACACCTTGGTATTAGAATAGGCATCTCCAGTGAGTCTGTGTATTTTATGTGTGTTGCATTAAAAGGTCATTGTGTTGTACCAGAGGACCAAATATGATTCCTGAAATAATTATAAATCAATATATTCAAAAGCCTGTGGTGTACTGTTGTTGCCTATAACATAGTTCTAAGAATTTTCAATGAATTTGTATTTAATTTGTACTCCAGCATGATTCATTTTTAATATAAATTATGTTTACATTTTGTTGCAGCCAAAATCAGCATATCTATGTTGTAGTATATTCAGAAAGCATATTGTGCTCTAATGGAGTTATCATAGTACAACATCCAGAGTTTTATGTTCTCTGTGGGCCTAGAAAAAGAACCTGAATTCTGTGACTCGTGCCTCAAATGTCCATGGATAATGTCATGTCTCTTTTTTTAAAATAAGATGTTATTATTAAGATCTATTTTCAAGAAGGTCCTATCATGAGCCATTAAAGCTCATTATGCCAAATCTGAATCATACCCTTTGTTATCTTTCAAGTGTGATGGGACGACAGAGATATTAGTCTAGATATCTGCAGCGTTTAGCAAATTGCCACCTGTGGGTATTGATGGGAGCCATTAGTCATTTTATATAATATAATTACAGTATAGTACATGGCCTGTTGATTTGGTTCAAAGTCAGAGTTGAAAACATATTTTGGACTTTTAACTGACTCTTTGCTTTGAGTGACCCCTTACCTAAATTATGTTTATTTTATTAAAATAAATGATAGAACATTCCATTTTGTTACTTACAAAACTGTCTTAACACTACTGAAACTTTACCAAATGTTTCAGCAGTGACTGTTTTGGTAGTGACTGTTTTAGATCATTTTGAGCAAAACTCAAAAACACAAGCCAGTACATGACTAGTAAACACAGCTTTGAACAGTTATACACACTAAAATTATAATAATTCTTCATTAAAACACAAAAAAAGGTTTACTTAATTGCATAAAATATGTGTTTTGGTAGTGACAGTGTTTAATGTTACACACTGATTTTCAGACTTTGGGACACATTTACTTCAAAACAGTGGTATCTAACTGCTCACCGTATGGCCATGAGGGACAGGGATGCAGTCTTACTTCCTACTCTAAAATGCAGGGGTGTGGTTAAAATAAGGCTCTGTCTATGGACCAAAACTCATGTTTTTGTAGTGACATGAAAATGTGGGACAGTATTTTTCAAATGAAGAAAACTTCATAGCGTCTATAGCATATAATAAATTAATGAGAAATCTAAATCTTTCAATTTCACTTTAAAATAAATCAAAAAGATCTTAAAAAGAACAACATTGAAAAAAATTGAATTATTATTTTCACAAGTTGAAATTTAAGGGTGAGGTTTTGAGACAGCCACATTCCAAAAGAAGGTACCTTATAAATACTGATTTTGTAAATATTTAGTTTATTACTATCTCAAAGAATGCCTTGCGTTACAGAATCCTTGTAAATATCCAAGGTTTACTGTGGGACCACAGTCTACACAACCAATTTGGTAGAAGGGTCCATATACAGTATAGTATTTAGTGGATAATATTGTATAATACAGTTATATTACATTAAAATTATATTATTCATAAAATTCTTGATTGTTGCATAATTCTTTGAATAATTTTATCATAAGTGTTTAATTTTGACATTTTTACATTTATATCTAGTTATTTAGCAGACACTCTCTTCCTGAGAAACAAAACATGCCAGCAATACCCAGATATACTGCATAAATACAAGTGTAGATACTGATGAGAAGTGAATTATTATATAAATGAACAAAACATAGAGGTAGAGTGCAGAAGATTGAAAAGAAAAGACACTGTTTTCAGAAATTAAGTATGAATGAGTGCAGTTAGGTGTTAATCTAGTTATTGAAGAAGTGAGTCTGGACCATGGCAGAAGAAACATATGTCACTATTAACACCTTTGATTTGATCTGGTTCTACTGATGGCAAACAACTGTGTTTGAAACTAAGGAACCACTGCCCACCCATAGCATTCACTTACAACTATGACAACAAATTGTTAAAGATGTTTAGCCCTGCATAGCTTGTAGATTTTTAAGCTCTTTTGCTTTCCAGTGTGTATCTAAAGTGTCTTTTAGTGCCTTTCTTGTTAAAACATGTGACACTTTTCTGGATTAACTGAGAAAAGATGAGATCCATTTGAACATGCACAGTTGTATGCAAACATTTGGGTGCATGTTTTGTTGATTCTCTAAGTGAAGATAAGTTAACACATCCTCTGCAGAGAACACACCTCTGCACATTTCAATACACAATTAAAGCCTGTTCCCTGCAGTGGATGTGTTAACTTATCTTAAACTTAGAAAATCAACAAAACATGAAATTCAACTAAGGGTGTTCAAACTTTTGTGTACGACTGGACATCTGAGCCTGTTTCACATAGATATTTGTTCTTCGTAAATTTGAGTTAATAAACAATTGTGTCGTAGAACTAAGTTCTTAAACACTCATGCAGTGTCTGTTCAGACCTTGCAGAAGGTTATAAGAATGTTCTTGTCTTAATGGATTGGATGGCTGCCATCTCCATCTGAATGTACATCGGTTTTATGAGGAAGCTAAGTGGGGTCACATTCCTGCCTCCATCTTCAGTGGACAATTCCTGGAAATTCCATATTATCTGTCTCAGTAAACAGTCATGTTTTCATGCAATGTTTACATAGGTCATTGATGCAAAACGCCCAAAATCTTTGAAAATGTAACAACATGCATTGTCATGGTTGTGCTAGTATTGCGAATTCATAGATCCACCATATTTAAATAAAGGCTGATTGATTGATCGATTTATTAATTGATACGTGATAAAGTATGCATATTCATACTATATTAAATTCATTTGAACTTGTGTCCTTTGTTTACTTTGCTTAACTGTGTTGTTTCTGCCATTGGCCCATATTTCAGGGTGGGCCTTGTTGTTCAGGAAGCATATGCAAACAGGAAGCTATGATTGCTATTCTTCTAACCAGAACTCTGATAGCCTTGAGTTTCATCTGAGCCACACATACATACACACACATACAGACACACCCTGTTACCGCTTTCAGAAGACTTGCTCTAGTCGGCATTCCCATGGTTCCCTAAGCTGACCTGCAATGAATTCCACCGTGTCATAAGCCCTCCCTTATGAAGTACAGCAGAAGAAGGATTTCCCAGGCTCTGAGCCGTGACCTTCATTAAGCAAAAAGAAAAAAAATACATGGTCCTTGTTACGTGGTATACTAATATTGCACCCATCGTCTTTTAACTGTAATTTGATGTGTCAGATCAAAACTTAGTATAACATGTTTTATACCATTTGAAAGCACTACCTGCAGCATTACACAGTATGAAAATTTTCTGATGAATGGACCATTTGAAACGGTCCAAAATTACTTCAAAATAACTTACATTAAAAATGAAGAAAATTCTGATATTTTACCATTTTGAAGATATAAGGCTTTGTTCTGACACCAACTGGACAGTTTATTGTTTGTAATAATTAACGTGATATTGGCCTTTGAAATATGGATATCCTGGAATGCAAATGAGCCTTCCCCGTAGGAGAGAACTATTAAAAAAGAGATCTCTTTAATATCTCTGTAGTTTCTCTAAGACAAAAATGAGATCAGATGAAGAGCCAAAGGAGACCTTTGCTGGAGTCTCTAGCTGCTCAGATATTTCTCCTGAGTAAAAGACGTCTTCTGTTGAGTTTTAGTAGAGATCTCATACATTTGCCAACACAATGACACCCATGCACACAACTAAACTCTCATCTCTACTTTATCTCTCCTGCATCTCATGTCTCCTTTTTGTGTAATGTTGTTTCTTCCAAGGAATTTTAGGGGAATCACCATTAAGTCTCCTGAGCCATCAAAGAGCAACATTTGTTCAATAAAATTTTCTAACAAATTATGCTTTTATTATTGTATGCTAATAACCCCAGATGATCTAGATGTTTGCTTGTGCATGAATCAAGATCTTAATGTGAGCCAATAAATGTAAATTAAGAGTTCACCCGTGTGTTTTAAAGTATATTGTAAGGCATATCACAATTGCATATCACAATGAATGCAGAAGCATAACAATTATCTCTTGTTATGTAGACACTTCCAGACACAGTTAATATTCTGCCATGCTCTGTGGCATGTATAAAGGCCCAGCTGACCTTGATGTTTTGGATCAAGATGGCAAGTGGATAAGATCTAAGTGACTTTGAAAGAAGGTTTATATTTGAGGCAGGACTAGCAAGAGCTTCGGTCGCAAAGACTGCTCAACTGTCTAATGTTTCGATAGGAACAGTACCTTTAATGTGACACCTGCTTTCAGATCTACAGGAAAGACATCAGTAATTAGGGTTGGAAATTGTTGTCAAAAGGGCACATTAAATTACCATGGTGCTTATGTATTAATGTAATGAGCAACTTTTCCTCATGTCTGAGAATGTCAGTGCAGGACATCAGAGCCAGTCAGCCCTAGACGCTCACTACACACGTGGCCCAGCCGCCCCCTCATGTCAAAGCTGTTTATTGGTTACAACTTTGATGGGAGGATGAAGCTGAGCTATCCATTTGGTCATGAAAAACAAAACAAAAAAAAAAACATGAGAATGAATTAAGGAAACCATCAAGCATACAGCCAAATCATAGTATGAATAGCATTCTATATTAGAAAATACATAAAAGGAAATTTGGGGCAGCCAGTTTGAATGGGCTGATACTGATAAAATTAGTGATAATATCATAGGCCTATTAATTCTATGATGACAGATGGAGTAAACTGTGGGAGGATTATAGTGGGAGTACAGGGGTGTCAGGTGTGACTATTTGGCAATTGCGAATGGTTTACACGGCTCACGGGTCAGGCAGGCGGGCCCCTTTGCAGATTTTTGCTTAGGGCCCCGTTGAGGTCAGGACAGGCTCAGACTGCAGCCAGTCAGCAGCAGTCCACAACTAGAAAGAGGCATTATTGTAGGGTTGCAAACACACATGCACAGTTAAGAGTGATCTGGTCAAATGAGTTATCATCCACCGTGTTTTCCACAAGAGGGAGAGTGCTTGCGTGGTGTACGCCAAGAGAAAGGTAATATCATGAATGCTTGACCCCTACAGTAAAGGATTCTGTTGTCTCTGTTATGCTGTGGGGGACATTTCACTAGCATGGTTCAGGACTACCATGAGAGAAGAGTTACTGCATGTCAATTCAAAGTTACTCTGTCTGATAACCTTCATCCTGTGATTAAACATTTCTATCCTGATAGGAGAAGCCTCATCCACAATGATAATACCACAGCGGAAAAGGAGTCGCTGAAAAGTTTGATGAGTATGAAGCTGAATGAGAGTTTGATGAGTATGGGATGTAAATGATATGCTATGAATTATTTTTGCAGTCACCATATTTCAGCCCAATTGAACACCCATGGGAGATATTGGAACAATGTTTTAGATGGTGCTCTTCACCACCACCATCAA